TATGGTACACTACCAGACTTTACTGGTAGGTAATCACAGTATTGAGGCACTGAAGCACAAATGTCTGAAACGACCTGTTGCAGTATTATGACTGAGTGCTGATACTGGACAGCATCGTATAGAGAAGTGTCCAGCACACTCTCCAATTGCTGCTTGATCTCACCATGCAAAAGTAACCGACATGTACGGATGTTGTTCCACACACCTGCGACCCATGCATCAGGATACACATGATACTGCGTTCCCATGACGAGTTCAGATGTAGTCACTAACTGGATGACCCGAAATTGCCAGGCTTCGGGCATGTTCCCCGCGAGCGAGCAGAGGTTCTGGTCTATTTCTTTGGCAGATGCAATTATTTTCCCAGGATCGCAGAGCGTACGGTCCTTGACCATTGCACGGAAATAGGACAGTTGTATCATGATATCCGATAATATCCATGCAGGATCACAAGTATCCATGGAAGCAGCAGTGTGGCGGTGAAGCTTTACCAATCCCATGGGTATTCGAAAAGAGCGCATTAAGCATGTCACTGAAATGCAGAGGAGGGTTTGACGAAACAACTGAAGCCCGGGACGAGATTGCACAAGTCCCACCCCTCGAATGTCCAATATCGACGCTACACCTTTTAAGTGAGTCACTCTTTGATAGGGGAAGTCCTCACTCTCACAAGTCAGAGCCTCAAAGGTGTTTAGGAACAAAATCGAGATAAAGGTAGCATTCTTTGCTGCTTCATGGCATGACAATAAGGCTGCATTGATATGTCGAAGCGCTGCAACGTAATACTGTCTGGCTTTCTTGAGAAGAGCAACATGTTGAAACTTGGTAGCGTAAGCTGCTAGCGCAACAGCACGGAGGCTCGCGACAGCTCGTTGCTCATTCATGACATCATCGTTAAATGTGGATAGATACTCGAAATGGCCCCGAATGAGGCCGGTGTTATGGAAGGTATGAGCCGACATGAAGAACTCGATCGCACGAAACTCTGTGGACTGGACTATGGTCCCGCCTAATATGTTGGCAGTTGATAATGCAGGACTTTGTACCCTTGCCGTATTACATATAACCGGCAAGGAAATTGTTGCATTGGGAACATAATTTGAGTCTGGATTCTCTGGGTTATGATGAAGAAACATCCGCTCTATAGTATCACCATACTGTGGACATTTCCAACCAGATTTTAGGCATTGATTGCAATGCGGTCGCGCCCGGTCGCACTGTTGGGTCCACCCGATAAGCATTGATATAAAGTTAAATAGGATATAACCATAGAAAACAAAGTATTAGAATGAATCTAATGAGCAGTACCTTGATCTTTCTCGTCCTACAGACCTGGCAACCTCTTGAGAATCTCCCGTGGCGGACCATTCTGATAGTATCGGCTGGTCCGATACCAGCCGTGGATTAAGATCGCTGTCGTTCATGCAACGGTAGCAGGCAAGGCTACATCACATAGAAGATGCTGCACAAAGACGAAATCCAAGACGTAGAGATGTAGGCAAATAAATGACTCATGCTCATAGCATTACTGAGAAGAAAGACGAGGGTGAACAACTGGAAGGACAGATAGAGACTCCCATCACATGTGCTGTCAGCGCTAAGCCCTTTTGGAAGGTATTGCGAGGGAGCCAATCACAGTGCAGCTAGTGATATAATCCTCTCTGAGTCTACTATCTCGGACGATGGATGCTGGTCTTTTCCATAAGACATTTATCATCATTAGAAATTCAGAACGATTTAGCTCATCTGTAGGGGATAAGGGTGCCAAATATAAATATGTGCTCCTTTCCCGAGTAGACCAACAGTCTCCAGGCTCTCAAAAAGCACCATCTCATTGGCATTTCATAGAGTACAGTTACTGCTTATAACCAGTCCCCACGATCCCAAAAACCCCTTTACTCCTCTTCTGCTACCTCACATTACAGGACCTCTGCTTCTCAATATGTCCGAAGACAAGAAGCTCCTCGTCGTGTTCGGTGCCACGGGCATTCAAGGTGGCTCGGTTGCTCGAGCAATCCTGGCCGATCCTGCGGCATCAAAGCAGTTCAACATCCGGGCAGTTACCAGAGACCCTTCCAAGCAGGCTGCCAAAACTCTAGCTCAGCAGGGTGCGGAGTTAATGAAGGTCGGTCAGACCCAACAACCCGACTGGACTTGCGGTGCAAGGTCATTGATAAAGACGACGATAGGCCGACCTTGAAGACAAAGACTCTCTTCGCTTAGCTGTCAAGAATGCCTATGCTGTCTTTGCGGCCACCAACTTCTGGGAGACTTTTGATGCTGCCGCCGAGACTAGACAAGGTATGAACGTGGCTGATATTGCTAAGGTAGGGCATACTAGTACATCTGCGGAGCTATGCTAACACCAACAGGAGCTGGATGTCAAGCATCTTATCTGGAGCAGCTTACCTGGCATCTCACGGAGTAGGTAACTCTTTTCTCTTCACCCATTGTGTCGTTTTTCGTATTGTTGTGATTTGTGGCTAATGAAGGATAGTCACCAATCATAAACTCACTGGCGTGGTGCATTTCGACAGCAAAGCTCGTGTTGACGACTACATCCGTCAACTCTCGATCCCGCACACCATTATCACTCTTGCCATCTATGCTACCTTTTTCTTCGAGATACTGACACCCCTTCCAACAACACCCCCTTCATACGTGCTAGCGTTCCCTGAACCAGCAAGCGCCCAGACCAAAGTGCCCATCATTGACCCTACTGCTGACCTGGGTAAATTTGTCAAGGGTATCCTCCTAAATCCTGGCAAGTCGCTCGGCCAAAACTTTAATGTCGCCGGAAAGGAATATACTTTCGAAGATATTATCGCCATCGCAACGGGTACGGGTATAGATATAAGCTTTCAACCGGTGGATAAGGGGACCTTCAAGGCCGGAATGACCGCCAAGGGATTTCCCGACGTTGTTTGTGAGGGTGTATCTCAGGCCGCTCAGTATATCCAGGAGTATGGATACTTCGGCGGGGCCGGATTCGAGGAAAGCCACAAGGCAAGTTATTAATGAGTTTTGATTATGCTTCCTCGTAGTTATGAACAATACTAACTGCCGTTGCACATTGTAATAGGTTTTATTGGAGCCCTTGACTACACTGGAAGAGACTCTGAAAAACAGCGCGGTTTTGTCGCAGTTGAAGAATCAAAAGTGATTAGTCGTTAAACAAAGAACTCAGGTTTTCTTGGGGAACAGAAGCTATTAACTTCAATTTCTTGATTGGATTTCGATTATTTGGGCATCTGCGCCACGATTTGTAACAGCACATTGAGTTCTTTGACTAGCTATATCGAATATTGCAAACATTAAATACTGATTACGGATCTGCAAAATATTATCCAGTCCATATTCCGCAGTCAGGATGATATAGTTCATAGTTCCGGAGTATCAGGAAAGATTGGCATACTAGACGCAGTTAGTCAAGGTTACCAGCCAGTAGCTTTTCAATCACCAAGAAACTTACATTTCAGGATAACGATCTCCCACAAAGTTGGCCTTCTGAACCAGATCCCTAATCTCAGCAACCTCTTCGTCACTCAATCTCACATCGACCGCTGCAGCGTTCTCTTCTAGGTACTTAACACTCCGGGTACCTGGAATGGGAATAACCTCCGGACCTTGAGCAAGCAGCCACGCCAGCGCAACCTGCGACGGCGTAGACCCATGTGCCTCTCCAATCTCCTTGAACCTCTCCACTATATTCAGGATTCTATCCATGCCTTCAGAATACCTTGGAATCATGCATCGAAAGTCCTGCTCTCCCAGGTCACTTCTCGACTTGAACTGGCCCGTCAATAACCCCCGACCCATGGGACTATACGCCACCACAGCAATGCCCAGCTCGCGACATGTACGAAGCACGTCAGACTGGGGAGACTCAATGTCCAAGCAGAATGGACTGTACTCAGTTTGCAGTGCTGAGATGGGATGAACAGCATGTGCACGGCGCAGAGTAGCAGCGGAGACTTCGGAAAGACCTAGGTAGCGAATCTTCCCTTCTCTGTATCCAACATCTCACGTAAGCAACCTATTATAACACATTGAATGTTATAACTCACCTCTTCAACTGAACCATAGCCTCCACGGTCTTCTCAATAGGAGTCACCCCGTCCACCCGATGACAATAATACAAGTCAATAGTCTCAACACCCAACTTCTCCAGGCTCCTCTTACATGCCATTCGGACATACTCCGGGTCAGATCGAATACTTTGCTGCATGTTGGCATCATAGCTAAGACCAAACTTTGTTGCTAAAAAGATGTCTTCGCGCTTGCCAGACCGCTTGAACCACTCCCCGATGATGGTTTCGCTGTCGAAGTAGATGTCAGCCGTGTCCCAGAATCGCTGTCCAATGGAGTGAGCGTGGCCTAGGAAGGCGAGCTTCTCTTCCCGGGTGTTTTGTTGGCCGTAGGCACCGGCGATGCTCATGGTACCGAGGCCCACGGCGTTGACCAGGGGGCCGTTATGGCCTAGGTTGCGGAGGGTGGACATTGTTACGCTGTTTGGTTGATGTAAAAGTAGACTTACTACTAGTAGTAAACTTGGATATAAGCAATTTAAAGGATAGATGAGGGATAGTGAATGGGTTGAAAACAAGAGGAGACGACGGGGGATATAAAGCAGATATTTATACGTCCTTTATGGAGCACGTAGAGTTCAGCAGTGACTGGATCTCTCGTTTTTCTCCAAGCATCTGTCCCTATTGTAGGACCTAGATCCAGGATTTCTGAGGCATAACTCAAGCACAGATGAGGCTTTGACCGGCCAGCCAATCACGAGCGTGTAAATGCGAACCGACCAATAGGAATCGCCGAAAAACGAAGATGGCCCATTCGGCATCATGTTGAATTAGTTATTTATGATGGAAGCTTTGGGGGCACAGTACTACGAGCAGGCAAATCAAATTACAAGAATTGACACCTAGGTACTCAAAAAAATTACCTTAAGCCAATATGCGCACCGAAGTTTCAAGTGAATAACGTGTACAGTAGCCACATCTACTATTCCTAAGAAATGCCTCGGAGTTCGAAGGCCATAATACCGACTCTATCCGCCGACTGATAAGTGATAAGACATGATATCCCTATTTACGACAGATAATCTGCGCACTGGGAATGGAGATCCAAGCATCCTCATCCTCCCCCCACTGACGCCAAACAGTAGATATACTCTCGAGCTCTTCCAACGTCGCGAATCCATTTACTAGAGCCCCCTTAGCAAAGGCCGACTTCAACGCGCGTTCTTGCCATGTTCCACTCCACCACTGAACCTCTTCTGGCTTCGTAAAGCACCACGCGCTCACAGTACAATCGACCTTCGACTTCTCAAATCCAGCCTGACGTGCCCAGACATGCAGGTACCGACCTGCATTGGGCTCGCCTCCATTCTTTCGAGCCACCCGATCATACAGCTCCAGCCAGCGTCGCAGTCCAGGGAGTTCTGGGTACCACCCGAAGACCGAGTAATCTGACTCGCGCGCGGCGACAATACCACCAGACCTGCAGACACGGCGCATCTCCTTCAAAACATTCACGGGATCTCCCACGTGCTGTAGAACTTGGTGGCAGACGACCACATCGAATGATTCATCGGCGTAAGCCAGGTTGTTGGCGTCACCCGTGACGAACTCGATGTTGTTGATTCCTCGCGATTCGGCGAGCTGTCGGGCGCCTGGTAAGACATTGTCGACCATTTCCAGGCCCGTAACGTAGCCATTCGGGACATAAGTAGCCAAGTCCACAGTGATGGTGCCTGGACCACAGCCGATGTCTAGGATCTTCATGTGGGGTTGGAGGTGCGGCAGGAGGTATTGAGCGGAATTGAGGGCGGTCCGTTGTCCGTGGGACCGGAGCACGGAGGCATGATGACCGTGAGTGTATGTTGCTGTCTCAGGCATTTTGCTCTTTTTTCCCCTGAGATATGAATGAAGATTTGTTGATGAGAAATGGAATGGCATGTATTCGTTGCTTCCTTTATAGCTGCTGTGGATGGCTAGCCACGGGCCGATATCGGCGGAGCTGTCGCTCGCTGACTTAGGTCAACGCGATCGGCATGGTTGCATTTCGGAAAAGGATTCTCCAGCCAATATATGGATCAAGTTAGATGCAGGGAATGGTAAAGTCCAGGCGGAGTTCACTCTTATTGCATGATCGCGGTATCCTTTTGATCATTGCTGCGGGCGGACATCGCAGCTCCCGCACAACCATCTCCGGTCATTGGTGACCGACCCACTTGGGTCATGTTTTATGCTTGAGCTTGAATATGCTTCTAGTTCGGAGTCACTTCTGCTTGCTGCTTACATGAAGCCCTGACCGAATTATTGAGAAACTAGGCCTATTAGAGTACTGTGATTATAGTCACAGTCTGATCTGGACTGGTGCCATCACCATCTTAGCCCGCAGCGATACCGGAGATGATATGGGAATTGAACCCTACATGTTGATTATCCGGCGACAGTGCCTCCTATTGGGACCCATATCTTTCTCAAATGATGCTTCTGAGACCTTCGGTTTTGCTTTTTCAGTGCTTTGATTTATTTACCACCTCGAGGCTGACACTCTGGCTTTTGCCACTTCTTGACGCTAAAAGCTTTCGTCGGCTACTATATCCAAACCTGCTTCTCCAGTTCCACTTATCATATTAGCAACTGGGATTCTTCCGCTAGCCCAGTCCAAGGCCAGGTACCCGCCAATAGTACCTCGTATATCTCTATCATGATGGCTATAATAGAAGGTGCCCACAAAGGAAGATGACAATTGGGGCTGTTGTCGTTCATTCCTTTCAGTCATTCTTTCACACCGCAACACGGTCTATTCTCTCCCAAAACACACCATTACGTTCTTCTGATCAGTTCAGCCATTGAAATTATGGGGAGAACAATAGCAAGGTTTCTGACTTTTCTGCTACCCCTGACTTAATTGACTGCGGCTCTGACCGTCCAGCCAGAAGCAGCAGCCAGGGTCTCAGTTGAGACTTCGACATCTACCTATACCGACACAGTGACCAGCACAATCACCAGTCTTTCAGCTCTGACAACCATCACTACCACCTGTGCTACCCAGTCATATGCGGACCCATTCTGTACCTTGAACGGTGCTTGGTCTCTCGCCGGCAACTGGTTCCAACAATGGCGTTCGGGCGTGTCTCTAGAGGGAGGGACGACTGTCACCGCGGCGAATTGCGCATCTTTCTATGAATGCGAGTTGATATGCTGTCAATTAAGTACTGAGTGTAACGGCGTCAATTACAATACGACGATCCGTGCTTGCTACCTCCTAACTGGCTCGCTCACTGCTACTTCTGCTGTCTCTTACAGGGCGGCGATGCGCTTCACCACCAATCCTTGCACGCTTACCGAGACTTCTATATCGACGGGCCTTTCGACGCAAACATCCACCATCGTGTCTGTCTGTTGTGACATACACGTCAACAATTAATATACCAGATACATCATCCACCCAGACTGGTTCCGTGTTAGCTGTGCCAACTTCAACATCTCCAGTCGCAGTATCCAGTTCTATCCCCGCAATTCCCAGCAATCGGGTCACCTCCCTGGGAACCACTGCTCCCTCATCGATCTCCACCTCAACACCTGTGATATAATTGTCGTCGGCTTCTGTACCTGCATCTACAGTTGACACTTCATTATTCACGACCTCATTATTCACGACCTCGGAAAAGTCATCCATGCCAAACCAGCCATCCGCTGCCGCAAGTTCCTCCATCGCTATACAGCTCAGCAACTCACATTCGCCTTCATACAGCGATGCTCTTACATTTACTCCGAGTTCAAGATTTGCGAAGTCTACTGCCTCGCGTCCTGCAATCATATCAAGTTCGGCTTCATCTCTACATCCAAGCTCTTCGGTACCGATGCAATCATCAAGCCAATACACAGCATCCTCCGCATCTATCCACGCATCGTCGAGCTTGGAGTCAACCAAACTTCCTCAGGTATCTACATCGGTACCATATACGCCTTCATTAGCGAACCAAAGCACCATTCTACCGAGCCAATCAACCTTTCCGCAGCCTGCCATCGCTACAAATAACAGCAGCCCCCCCGAGTCTACTTTCTCACCTGGAGGACTCTCTACCACTTCTACAATCCTTATCACCCAAGTCCGCACTGTGACTTCATGTCCAACTTCACTGACCGACTGTCCAACTACGGATAAGACTACATTTTTCACTACCGACACCATCACCGTGGGCACTACAATCTGTCCCGTAACTGCTGCCATGGCCTCTCCAACGAGCTTGCAGCCTGCAGACGATGTGTATACTGAGGTTTAGAGGGTGTATGTTACGAAAACCATGACAATCTGTGCTTGTGTAGGTGATAGGTATTGATTGTTTACTTGTCCTCGATTCCAAATTTTACTCCATTATCTCGGGGTGTTGCTAATATTTACGCCAAATTGTCTCCACAGTAGTTCCTGGCAACCTAATAGATAGGTTACTAATGGAATTTATAGTAATCATCATCGTCTCGTTCCTATTACGGTCTAATCAATAATCTATTACTATGATAAATACTTCATTGACTTTGTCCTTGCCCTCATCACCATTCCCCCAGTTCAACCCAGCAACCTTGACATCACCGATGCTGCTTCTGCTCCTCCTTCTGCCAAACCTTAAAGTACGTACTCAACAGCTCCGGCATAGAAGGCAACTCCGGCATATCCGACGACGCAAGCAAAACACGCCGACTATTAGCATTCTCATACACAGTCTTCGTCATCGTCTCCGCCTCCCAGTAAACCAACAATTCCCGAATCTTATCCTGCAAGAACGTCGACGCGACTTTGAAATGATGTTCTCCATGCGTTGCCACAGTATCAGCCCACTCCAAAACCGATACCCGTTTCAACGGGGGGGACGTATACTGTGCCACCATGTCTAGAACCTCATTCCACGTCAGGGTAAGAGTTTGATCAGGGAGGACAAGGTTATAGGCATGGCTGTGGTGACTGCTAAGCGCAATTTCCAGGATCGCTGAGCTTGCGTAGTCGACTGGGATCATCTGGCAGCGGGCCGCTGGGGGAGAGGGGTAGCATCCAACGCGAATGGAGCTGACCATCAGATGTTGGAAACCGTCCCCGGGGTTGGCAACTCCCGTTTTGCTGTGGCCGGAAATGACGGGTAGGCGATGGATGGTTACTGGCATGCCGTTTGCGATGGCATCCCAGGCGATGCTTTCGGCCACGATCTTGGTCTCACTGTAACCGACGAGCTTTCGTTCGGAGTCCGTAGTGTTGAGGGCTGGTCTTTCATTCTCGCCGATAAGCTCTCTACCCTCGAGATATGCAGATGTTCCGCAGGCTGAAATGCTGGAGGTATAATGCACGGGCTTGAGGCGCTTCGTGTTGGCGAACCGAAGAATATTCGAAAATCCATGGATATTGGCGCTGCGAAGCTCCGAGTATGAAGGCATGTAGTTGCATTGGGCGGCAAGGTGGAAAATAACACTGGTCCATTGAGCGAAATGTTCGTACTTCTCTTGCCCGAGGCCGAGTGTAGAGTCAGTGAGATCGCCAGGTACCACAATGACTTTAGATTCGGAGTCCAATGACAGTCCGTAGTGCTCCAGGTTCTCCTTGATACGTGCCAAGCCTGCTGTGGCATCTGGCGCTCGCACCAAGCATGCAACCTCCTTCACCCGCGGGTGACTAGTTAAAAGAGCGAGAAAGAAGGCACCCAGAAAACCGGTGCATCCGGTCACAAACACCCGCCCTTCAGATTCAGAATGCCAACATGGGACAACCTCTGATATTGGCTCCAGAGATTTTGCCAGCTCCAAGTCAGCCCGATAGAGCACGCTCTCATCGACGTCGTCTTTGCCGTTACCGACAAGAGACCCTTTCGCGTTCTCAAGCTCTCCGGACTTGTGCTTTTCGCGGAGGACCTGCATGGTAATCGCGCCGAGTCCTTTGACATTCTGCGCCTTTGATATTTGAGCGAGTGATACCTCAACGCCGACATTTCGCCGGAACCAGCTGCGTATCTCAATGGTCATCAATGAGTCAATTGCAATCTCACAGAGCTCCTCATACGGCATGTCATCGGGATAGGACATGTTCGAGGCAACCATTCGACCGATCTCGAGCGTAATCTTGGTCTCTGTAGCTGGATCATAGAGAAGAGAGGGATTGTGCTTGATCGCGTTTACGAACGTTTTGAGCTCGTTATCTTGGCTTGCGCTCCCGCCGTCCGAAGCAGTCAGCATGTTATGCCACGCCAGGAAACGAGCATCCTGTCCAAATGTACCGCCATTCTCCAATTCTGACACTGGCTTTGTTGTTCCCATTCCTATGCAAAGGTGGGGAGCACCTCGCATTATTTGTATTTCCAGGGCCTTGAGTAAATCAGGCTCTTCCAGCACTTCCCATGAGCTCATTTCCACCATTTGCCTAACTTTATGGGACGTTTCAGCAACAACTCCAATATCTCCCATAAAGCCAATATCGAGTACACTAGCTTGTAGCCCTTTGCAGTGACGATAAGTGACAAAAGCGTTCAAGAAGGTATTGGCAGCCGCATAATTTGCTTGTCCTGTATGACCGGCAGTACCAGAGACAGAGCTAAGTAGAGCGAAGAAATCCAAGGAGCAATTTTGCGTTGCGTGATGAATATTCCACGTGCCTTGGACCTTCGGAGCGAGTGCCTCAGTCCACTCCTCGTATGCCATGTTATCTAACGTTTGATCCTGTTTGACACAAAAGTTAGTCTGCATTTCACGATAACAAGGGAATGTTGACTGCAAAACGAAGGTGTATAGTAGGGAAAACTTACTCGTAGCACCATGGACAATTGCATAATTCCCGCTATAGGCCGTACTGCGGCAGATACGGCCCGTTCAACATCGTTGATATTGGTGACATCACCTGTCACTACCTGAATGTGACAATTTTCCTGAGATTCCATATCCTGGACAAATTCTCGAGCCTTGGTTGTCTCCAAGCCAGACCGGGACATGAATAGCAAATGCCGGGCGCCCTTCTCTACCATCCATCTTGCCACTGCACGCCCGAGACCCCCAAGCCCACCAATCAACAAGTAAGAAGCATCACTGCGGAACAGGGCCCCTTTAGCCTGCATCTTAGACACCTGTAAGTCAGATGGTTTTTCTGGCATTTCCACCAGAATCTTGCCCATGTGTTTGCCAGTCTGCATATGCCTAAATGCTTTAGCAATATCGGACGCCTTGAAAACAGTAACAGGCCGGATAGGACGGAGCTTCCCTTGTTCGATAGAATGAGCAAATTGCTGCACTAAGCTTCGAATAACCTCAGGGTTCTGCTCGCCAATTTGAAGAAGATCCACACCAATGAAGGTTCGGTTTCCCATGAAGAGGTCCATATCCAGCTTGCCATGACCGAGGAAGTCACGCTTACCCAACTCAATCATTTTGCCCATGGGGGCAACACACTTCCAAGAGGCATGCAATAGTTCGCCGGAAAGAGAATTCAGAACGAGATCCACTCCTCTATTACCGGTCGCCTTCATCACATCCCTATGAAAGCTAACGCTCCTCGAATCAAATATATGATCCTCGGGAAGGTTGAACTCTTCCATAAGATGTTTTCTTTTCTCTTTGCTTCCGACCGTGGCGAATATCTCGGCTCCAATTGCCTGGCATATCTGAATTGCGGCCAAGCCGACACCGCCGCACGCGCTGTGGATCAGAACTGTCTGCCCTTTTTGTAGATTTCCGCACTTCACCAACGAGTAGAGAGCGGTGGAGAATACGCAGGGACCTGCTGCTGCATCTTCGAGGGACAATCCTTCCGGGAGCACAAGACAAGTCTCCGCGGGCACTATTTTTCGAGTGCCCATTAAGCCCTTTCCGAAAATTGAGACCCTATCTCCTACTTGAATATTTTGTACCTCTGATCCCACATTGCGGACAATACCGGCCGCTTCAAGTCCGATCTCGGAAGTTTCTCCCATCAATCCCATCGATATCATGATGTCCTAAACAAGCAAAATTTAGCATTTAAACACTGAAGGCGATTGACAATGGCTTACTCTGAAATTGAGCCCCACAAATCGGATATCCACTTCTATGTCGTGTTCCCCAAGGTGTCCCACACGCCCATCCAGGGCCCAAGTCAGAGAATCAAAGATACCAAAGCACCCAATATCTAAAGATCTCTGCTCGAAGCTATCATCGGCAGCCATCATTTGGTGGAGGAATTGGAAGTGAAATCGACCGACATGTACTGCTCCATCTTTAAGGGCAAACTCGTAGTCCTCATTAATCGGGTTCTTGCCTGATTGTCGACAGATTCTTTCGAATACAAGCGCAATCTTCTCTGCTGCACCAGATTCATTCTGCTCGAGTTCAAGCGTTGCAAAATTTGTAGAGATCTCTTTTCTTACCGTTCGCATTAATCCCAGTGTTAGGCCAAATCTAGGGTCTGAATCTCTACCGCCAAATTGAACGGGTGGCATCAGCCACAGGCAGTGGCCTTTGACACAAGACAGAAAGCGTTGAAAGGCACTGAATCCTTCCTCTGAAAGACTGTCCAAGAGAGGACTATCTAGGTCAAGGAATGATATAACGTCCGTTATCGAAGAGGACAAGTCGTTCAGGGTCAACCAATTGACCCTGATTCCTTGGTGTGTGAAAGCCTGTGCGAGTGTGTATGCCAAACTAGGGACCTTGCCATTATGAAGGAAACCAATCTCTTTATCGAGAGATGCCTGGGCCTCAGGTCGC